GAGTGCAGTTGGGATATGTCTGGATAGCACTGGATGACCTTTTTGTCCTCCTTATCACAGAACCTTTAGCATTGTAGGTGTACTGTCAAAATCATGAATGATAAATCGCTGAGCATAAAGCAGCACACCTTGTAAATAATACCCTGCCCCTTATATCCTAAGTTAACTATCTCCCACCTCTAAAATTACCTACTATCCTCTAGATTTTTCTCACTAAGTAGAAAAAGGATCATAGTTAAACTTTTTTAAGATCCCTAGAGCTAGGAGGGCTTTCTTTTTAATAGAGCATGGTGAAGGTGAGTCACTTTATGATAGGGTACAAAGATCATCATAAGCTGTGTTCCTCCTGCCTTCGTTGAAGAATCTTTAAAACTCATTCAGGCCGTTAGAGAGCAGCAGAGAACTTTATTTCAATAGTTAAGCTACATGGAAACACATATTTTGTGCTTCTTTTCTCCCAAAGTTGAACCAGATCAAATAATCCTAGAAGAAAGGAGCAAAGTCATTATCTTTAAGTGAAAAAAGAATGAATCACTACACATTTAGGAAAATTTAGGATAAAAAGAGAGAGAGAGACATAACAACTACTGAAAAACAAAAATAGGATTTTTCTTGAGGCAGAAGAGAACCACTATAGAAAATTTGTTGGTGATTAAAAACTAACAAAATCAACCACAAACAATGCCACGTACAGAAATTACTGGTTGCTTATCAGAACACTAGTCTCACATTTACACTTGCCCCAGGGACACCTTTGCTTAAATTTTATAAAATCCACAAACCCAGCTTGACCAGCACCGTCGTCGTTTCTAGTATGAAGTGGTGGTCTTCTAGTTTGTCTCCTGACTGCAGTTTCTCACCTGACCAGGTCAGCTAATTGTTCTTTCTTTATTGGTTTTTACCTTGCAAGAGAGTATACATTTACTGAGTATTTTGTTCTTACCACTGAGAATATAACACTTAGAAGAATTCTAGATTCATAACTTGTTTTAAAATGTTAATTTAGGGACTTCCCAGGTGGGACAGTGGTTAAGAATCCGCCTGCCAATGCAGGGGACACGTGTTCGAGCCCTGGTCTGGGAAGAACCCACATGCTGTGGAGCAACTAAGCCCGTGCAGCACAACTACTGAGCCTGCGCTCTAGGGCCCACATGCCACAACTACTGAGCCTACGTGCTGCAACTGCTGAAGCCCACGCACCTAGAGCCGGTGCTCTACAACGAGAAGCCACCACAATGAGAAGCCTGCGCTGTGCACTGCAACGAAGAGTAGCCCCCACTCGCTGCACCTAGAGAAAGCCCCCATGTAGCAACAAAGACCCAACACAGCCAAAAATAAATAAATAAGTAAATCTTTAAAAAATGTTAGTTTATTTAACTCTCCTCATGGTTTCATGGAGCAAATCCTGCTGTACTGATGCTTTCATTTTCAGATTTTTTTTTTTTTTTAATTTTTGGCTGCATTGGGTCTTCGTTGCTGCACGCAGGCTTCCTCTAGTTGCGGTGAGCGGGGGCTGCTCTTCGCTGCGGTGCACAGGCTTCTCATTGCGGTGGCTTCTCTTGTTGCGGAGCACGGGCTCTAGCTGCATGGGCTTCAGTAGTTGTGGCACACAGGCTCAGTAGTTGTGGCTTGTGGCCTCTAAAGCACAGACTCAGTAGTTGTGGTGCACAGGCTTAATTGCTCCACAGCATGTAGGATCTTCCCCGGGCCAGGGATTGAACCCATGTCCCCTGCATTGGCAGGTGAATTCTTAACCACTGCACCACCAGGGCGTTCCCTCATTTTCATATTTATGGGCCATATGAAAAGGGAAAATGATTCTAGGAAGATTCTGGAGAGAGAAAACCTTTAAATATGAAAAAGACTTGGCAGCAGTTGTAAGATCCATGAAGCTGGGGAATTAGGATTATCCCTTCTCTCACATAAAAGTCGGAGTGATTGAGGAACTGTGTCACATAATTGATGGACACCAACTTGGAGACAAATGCTGGAGGGGTGGGGGAGTGATTGATAATGTTATAAAAATATTCTGTACCTAACCACAACACAATCGTTATATTCCTGAAAAGCTTCATGATCAGAGAATCCATGATTGAGATATTTACATCTTATGGGAAAAACAGCAGTGAGTACTGAGGTTATTAATGAATCCAGAAAAACCTAGAAAAATACTCAATTTTGCTTAAAAAAGGCAGTACTAAATAAAGAGAATATAAATTATTATATATCTTAAGTTAGTGATAATGGCCTCTAAATAATGAATGTCAATTTATTGATTGCTAGGAACTTCAGGATTTCTACTCTAGAATGTAAATTTATTTTAATGTTCGCAATTTTCTTGTAATTTAGTTTAATATTTTTATAAATTCATTTTGCATTAAATTTTGGGACCAAGGGAGCGACATTACAAACTATAATAAAGGATGTTGTCAAACTTTCATTTGTTATGGCAGGAAGAGATTCAGAGACCCATAATACCTTAGGAGACAAATGATGACTACCCCTCAATTCCATTGTATAGCTTGGAGTGACTCTTAACTTTAGATGACTCACTGTTCACCTGGCACTAGTCTAACCAAACCTTTTCACAACCTGTCACACCTTTGTACTTTCTTTCTCTTTTCATATTCCAGCATAATTAAAAGAGGAGTTAATTCTTGCTGCTCTTACTTTTCACTACTTGTTTACGTCTGTGTAGTGAGTGGTTGATCCTGGCCCGTGAGTAGGCATCGAGACAGTATTCCTTGTCTTTTGAAACATCTTCGTTCCTCATTAAGCCTCATTAATGAATTTTATCATTCATTCATTTTTCAACAAATATTAAATATCTAGTATTTTTTCAGTACTGTGCTAGGTACTAGTTATCCAGTGGTGTATAAACCTGAAACCATCCCTTTCCTTGTGGAGTGTATATCCTAGATGAGGAAACAGACAGTAACTCCTTCCTTAACACTCCCTGTGTTCCTTACTTTATTTTTTTTTCCATAGCATTTATCAACATCTAAGACTTTATTTTTTGTTTGATTTCATCCACAGAACGTTGGTTACATGAGGACAAACAAGAATTTCTGTATGTTTTTCTAAAGGAATATTTTTTGGTTGAGAAGTGAGAAAGGCACGTTTAATTCGTCACCACGTCCCCTTGATTCTGCTTCTTCAGCCTGTCTTTAAATAACCCCGCTGCCGCTTCCTTTTAGTTCAAGCCCTTTTTATTTTTACCTGGTCTATTAAAGTAGCTTTCCCTGCCTCTATAGTACCTTTCTCCTCCAGATTGCTGCCAGTAATCTTTGTAAAATTCAAGTCTGAACTTCTTCAATGATCTGCTGCTATCTTTTAAAGGTAAATCAGACTCCTTCGCTTTTCATTGTCGGGTTCCTTCCTATCTGTCCAGCCTTTTTTTTTTTCTCTGCCACTCCCTGCTCTCCATCTCAAACTTTATGCTGCAGTAGTATCAATATATTGCACTTCGTCAAGCTTCTCTACTAAGTGTGGTGGCTGGACCAGAGGCTTCCCCTTAACTTGGAAGCTATTTAGAAATGCAAATTTTAGGCTTCACCCTGAGGCCTACTGAATAAGAACCCTGGGAGCAGAGCTAAGCAAGCTAAACAAGACTTCCCAGTAATCCTGATGTGCCTTAAATTTGAGAATCACTACTTTTAGTCCTTTTTTTTTTTTTAAGTTCATTTCCTTAACAAGCTCAGCCATTAATTACCATGCTTTCAATATCATTTTCATTTGTGTAACTCTTAATTTACATCATTGACCCTGGTATCTGTGTCAGTCCTGCTTTTTAAATTGTGTATTGGACATCTTTCCTGGATATCCTTCCTGTACTTCAGACGCTGTAGGTTCTAAACAAAATTCAGTACCCATCTATTAAGATGTTTTATATACTGCGTTTCCTATTTTCTCCTTCAAAGGATTCCTCCTTGCAGCTTTGAATCCTAGATTATGCAGTATTTTCTCTTTGGTTTCTATTTTGTCTTGCTTTAGAGGAACAAAGGAAAAGATTTTTTAATAACTCTACTGACCAAAATAGGGTCAGGATTTTCCAGGCAATAGATTACTGTTGTTTATAGACCATCTGTTAAAATGTATTTTTTTTAATGTATTTTTATCTTATTCTTCTTTGCTTTTTCCTTCCCACCTTTTTTCCCTCCTCAGTTGTCTTTTTCTCTCTCATTTTAAGAACTTAGAGACCATTTACTTTGAATCTTGACCTCAGCTGCCCACGTTCTACCGTAAAGCTGGAGGCATCCTTGACCCTGGGCTAATAGAGTGACAACTTGTACCAAAAGTGACAACTGGTACCAAAGATTGTAGTCAGGCAACATTTCATCAATCTCGGTACAGTTTCTGCAGTAGGTTCTCAATAAATTTTTTTCTAATGAGTAAGTTAGGCAAGTCTCAAAGGACTGGACAGATCTCCAAGGTCAAAAAACCACAGTGAAATTGTGGCTGGATACATAAGGAACCTCAAAGATTTGAGCAGTAAGAAGTGAGAAATTCTGACATTCAAATATTTATTCAGTGAATAAATGAAAGATTTTAAAGAAAAGAATAGCCATTGTAACAGATGGTGAGGTATTTCCTTCTCTGAGAGAAGAGGGATAAATTTAGATTTTATTTCAGTGTGAACTTTCAAGTTTAATTTTAAAAATTCATGTTTATGTGTGCTTCCCCATAAGCACAGTTTGATATACATTTTTAATAATTTTCGTGTCGATTTATGTAACAGTTACATTTTAATGGTTTGACTATATATCTTGGGCTATAACTTTTAACTGTTATTATAGTTCTATTTTTGTTGGATAGGAAAGACAGTAATGTTTGTGTGTGTATATATATATCTGTTAAATTGCACATCTGAATTACCTGACATATGAGAAATTTTTATATGTGAAATCATATATCTATTCTCATAATTTGAGCTATTCTCTCATAAAAAATACATTCTTAAATTATAGTAATAAAAAACTTTCTTTTTAACATGCACACAGGAAACCTCGGCCTGTCTCCCAGTTGGTTGCACAGCAGGTTACTCAGCAGTTTGTGCCCCCTACACAGTCAAAGAAAGAGAAAAAAGATAAAGTAGAAAAAGAAAAAAGTGAAAAGGAAACAACTAGCAAAAAGAACAGTCATAAGAAAACCAGGTAAATTTAGAGTGTTATAATGGCACTTTTGAAGTAATAAAATTAACCATTTAATATTGTCTTTTAACATCAATATATAAAGTATATAAAGTAGAAATAAAAGATTTCATCTCTTTTACTATATCATGAAAGTGTTTTTCTAAGTTGAAGGTATATTAGAAATTCAACACAGAGGCCACAAATACAAGTTTAAGTGTGAGGACACTTTCTGTTTTTTGTTTTTGTTTTTGTTTTACTAGATTACAAGACATTTGTGTTTGAAATGTTTCTTTTTCACTCATAAAGCCAGGAGTGATGTTCACAATACTGAACAGATATTTGCATGAGCTTTAACCAATCAAAATGGTCATGGGTCCAGGCAGAACAGTCATGACGCCCTTATCATAAGTGCACATCAGTGGACTAACAGCCCTGCATATAACTCAACCTTAGCTGTTGTCAGCTTCCTCTGTGATTCAGCTATGTCACTGCTGTTCTAAAACATTTATTTTAGTAAAATTGATAAGCTGTCTGCAAAATTATGATAAAGTTATAAAAGCACATTTAAGAGAACATTACTCCCAGAGTTTTTTGTCATGTTGAGGAAGATTCAGGAATGATTGGCTTGATTAATGTTAATGATTTCAAGCATTTAATTATATTTTTGTGGCTAGTTACACATGAATATAGAGCTTTAAAGACAGATGTATTTGTTTTGTTATTTTTACCTAATTTAATATGCATTACATGCTCAGAAAGTTGGTAGAGAAAAAAGCTAGTTTAAAATTTTATCATCTTTTGTGTTTAGGCCAAGATTGAAAAATGTGGATCGGAGTAGTGCTCAACATTTGGAAGTTACCGTTGGAGATCTGACAGTCATTATTACAGACTTTAAGGAGAAAACGAAGTCACCGCCCGCATCTAGTGCTGCTTCTGCAGATCAACACAGTCAGAGTGGCTCTAGCTCTGATAACACAGAGAGGGGAATGTCCAGGTCATCTTCACCCAGAGGAGAAGCCTCATCATTGAACGGAGAATCTCATTAAAGTTTATTTTCTCCAATTTCCTAGTCACTTCTGTCATACCATGCAAATACACAGATTATGCCAAGAAGTACCACATTTTCATGACAAACATATTCATGCACAATCCATAATTTGCATTTTACATAAAATAGAAATTTGTTAGATTTTATTGCAATCTATGCCTAGTAAACATTTCCAGACTTAACATTTTGGTCTCCACAGTTAAAGGTGCCATGAAAATGTGGTTGAATTACTCATTATGCAGTGTTATTGGTAAGTCTATTTTCACTTTTAGTTTAGTGAATTCTAACACATAATTCTTGAATTCTCTACTATTGGCATGTAACGAATTTAAATTTTTATAACATAGTGCAAGCTGCCTAAATATGTATTATTTGAGAATTGTGAAACAAATAGTTACATGTATACAAGTCAAAAATCAACTTAATCAACTGTTGCTACAACAGAATTTTCTTAATGGTTATCCTCTTAAATACACCTGCTGGTACTTGGTGTGGTTAAATAGGAAGATTGTTATTAAATAAAGAATTTGTATGAACCATTGCCAATGTTTTTGACATTTTACTAAATTATTGTTCCTGAATTATGTTTTAGGTTTTATCTGTTTTGGGGGGGGGGGTTTGCTTATCTTTCAAAACATTCATTTATTGTAATGTTTACTAGCAGACTAGTAAACAATAAAACATTGATTACTTGGCTTTATAATTCAGATTTAGTGCTATTGTCATTGAACACTGGTATTTTCTGTATTATATAGAACATTAGAATTCAAGTAATTATAAGCATTTGGCAAAAACAGAAGAGAAGAAACCTGTCATATTTTAAAAGCTGCAGTTTTGGAAAAGCTTTAACTTAATAGTTTTATCACTGTTTCCTTGCCCCAAACTTATCCAGGGTCATAGAAGTGTGAATCTAATTAATACAGAAATGGGAACTGTTGCACAGAACTGAGAAATAACTAATCTTTAATCAGTTTAATTGGCCTCTTATTAAATATAACAACTCTTATAAAAATTATAGTACCCTATTTTCAGAAACAATTGCCAGTTTATGCATTTATCAATATCCTAAAATTTAAAAAATATTTACAGCCCCACTTACTATTATGTAAATTTACCAATAAAATATTTTTATGACTACAGATTTTGCATTTTTGTTTACAACTAATAAAAGTGTTTTTTGTTGTTTCTAAAAATCCAACTTAGAAACCACACAGTACTTAAATTCTAGGGTCTCCTGCTTTCTCTTAGCCATTTGTTTAATATGTATTTGCCTATAGGAGACTTTTGAACTATAAATGAACTTTAAATCATAACTTGGATACAGAATATCACATAAAAACATCATGATAGCATTTGAAGAAAGAAATAAAACTGTAGACCCTGACAGTTGTGATATTTGGTGGTTTCGTGTGGTAATGTAATTTTCTGTTTAATTGCAGTACTTTTTACAGGCACAATGGTACTGTCTTTTTTGTAAGATGCAAGTTGTGAAGTACAGTTAATTGCATACAGTAAAAGTCTGTGATTAAAACATTTATATACCTCATTCTTTAGTGTTGTTAAATGAAAGAATTTTATTTGTTTTTAAGATACTTTCAGTGGAACCCCAAATGACTGGTATGTTCTTTTAAAACATGAAAGTTTTTTTCTCTTATTTTATTCTTTTTCACATGTTCCAAATGTTTTATATATATACATATATATTCATTATTAGACATAGTAAAAACTACAAGTACTAGCTGTAATAGGGAAAATATTCTAATTTTTAAGTCAAAATTACTCTTTGGAGGTACTGGGTCTTATGATGATGATCAAATACTTTCTGGATATATTTTAAATGGACTGCAAGAGAGAAAAATCTGACAGAAGATGGGATTTTACCTGAACGGGCATAGTCATCTTTCTAAATAGTAGGGAGACAGCATGGAATTTGAGAATGCTAACTGATGGCTGGCATTTGAACCTCTGTTGTAGAACCTAAGTGAGCTTGAGTAAGTCATTCAAGGTCATTTCCCGTCTATTAAACAGGGATAATGGTAATCATATCTAACTCATAGGGTTGTTGGGAGGATTAAATGTCAATCCATATAAAATTCTTAACAACTACCTGACACATACTCTATGCTCAGTAAATGTGAGCCTTTACTGTCTTTATAGGTAAAATCCCATTACAGAAACATAATTTTTTTTGTAACAAAAATTGTTTCCATGCCTTCTTGGATGCCCAAAAGGAATTGTGTTCTGTAGGTTAAACTGAATTTTTTACATCAGATGTTTGCTCTGATCCCAGACCAGCTGTCTTTCTATAATTAAAGAACCTGATGTATGCACTATGAAACAGGAGAAATAAGCTGAGTTGGCTACTTTGATATTTTGTTTTCCTTTCATTAATCACAGTTATCTTTTCCTGTCTTCATTTCACCCTACCTCAAATACACTTCCAAACCAGGAAACAGACTCAAATTCCATAAATACACCTAATGTTAAAATATGCAAAAAGATTCAGAGCCTGGGCTTAGCTCTGGTTCATCAACTTACCCTGTGGTTTTAATAGTGGGTTCTTTTAGCCAAATTCTATACAAAAAGAGCATTTGGATGTTTTTCAGACTTTATTAGCTTATTTTGATATAAGTAAGAGTGAAGATATAATTTGAGGCATACAAGAATACATATTCTTAAACCTTTTATATTACACAGTAGAAATAGTTGACTTAATAACTTAAAGGTTTTATTTTTATTAAATACTTTCCTAAAATTATAGTGATGACTGTAGACAAAGTGAAGACATTAAAAAAGGAAGAAAAACCTTTGCTTTTCTAAGTTGATAACATTTATTACCCTTCTTTTAGAAAGAAGTTCTTATTGCCTGAATAGAATATAGTTTATTCATATTATATACATTCATGCTGAGTGGTCTAGAAGTTTTAGTTTCCACTGAAACCCTTATTTTACTTATTTTCTTGGTCTGCCACTTATCTCTTTTCTGGAATCTTTTGAAGACCTGAAGTAGGAACTGGGCCATTGATAGAAATTTCTGTACTGTACTTTGAAAATTAAGTGCAAACAAAAGAGTGAATGTGTGTGTAAGAAGGGTAATCATAAAGTAATACTTCGACTTATTAGCACTGGCTCCCCTCTTCAACCACAGGCACCTTCAGGTGTCTGGAACAACTGAAACGTAGAGAAGTCATCAGTGACAAAAATAGCTGAGTAGACTCAAGAGACAGTGAAGATTGCAGAATACAGGATGTGACTAATCATTTGTTAAAGCAGAAGGAAAAGAACACCCTCCCTGGCTATTGAGAGTGATGAAAAAGAAGATGCCCTAATAACAAAGGCAAGGAAGGATAGAAATGGGGAGAAAACTGAGGGAGGAGGAAGGAGAAAAAGCAAAGATAGTAGCAGAAATTAGAAAATGGGGCACTTTGATGCAGTCGATGATAGCAGAGAAGAATCGCTCAGAAGGGAGAGAGAGAACAAATAGAATGTATAGCATCTCGGTCTCTTGAGAAAATTTTTAAAACATGCTATGATAAATCATCTTTGTAATGACTCAGTCATTAAGTTTTCAGTTGTGTTTAGTAGACTGTTTACTAGAGCAGCAATATGTGTAATCACTATAAAATGATTTTCTTCAAAACCAGTTCATTTTTAGAAGTTGTCATAGAGATTTACCTTGAATTATATGAACACTTTACTTTCCTGAATGCACAACCCTGCTAGCCCAGATAATTTAAATGTTATGTATTTAATGTGGCTTTGTATTTAGCCAGTGCAGATATTCCAGCCTTTGTGGAATGGGCCAATTCTGGAGCATATGAAATGCCACGATAAGAGTAGGTACTTATATAGAAAAATCAAGTAGAGCTCTGAAAGCTTTTAGTTCTCTGGGACATGTTTCATGTTCTGAATTGTTTTCCAGTGGTGATTTCTTTCCTCCCCATCAGTAGGAGTTGTAGACTGTAGTAGCTATTTTACTGCTGTAATACTTTCATTATTTTCCTGATCTAGATTTTCTTTATGTCAGTTTTCAATTCAGTGAACATTTATTGAGTATGTTTTGTGTACTAGGCACTGGTCTGAGGGTTGGTTGCAAAGAGGACAAAGATGTGGAACTCACATCTTAGAGGAGAGATCTGTAAATACAATGCCATTATTTCAACAATAAAAATACATATAAGATACAGAAGTAACAGAAGAGGGAGTGCTTGCCACCATTTTTTTTTCTTTTTCCTTCTTTTTTTTTCCCCCTAGAAAATTCAACTTGGCCTGAGTATCCACTGTAAGTCCACAATGGAGATGTTAGGATCTCGTCTTGATAGTTGCAGCTGATAATGTTGGGTGTCACCAGTAATTTTAGCCAGCTACCATTTCATTACTCCAGTTTGAATTTTCAAAAGTTAAAGACTTTAAGGCATGTAATGTGAGATTATCATTTTCCTATACTAATTTTTAAAAATCAGTAAACAGCTGAATGAGGTCTCCTGTTGCCTTTTTGTGAGGATATTGAGGAAACATTACATCACTCAGAATCCAAATGAGAAAATTTATTCAGACCTGTTTCAGGAAAAGCTTTACTTCAACCTGAGAAATCAGTTTGCCTTTTTCTTGTGAACAATGCAAATCATCGATTGTCCTCAGTTTTTGCTTTAGTTGTGGGAAATCTCAGATTAAAATTAGGCATACTTTTAATAATTATGTAGAACTCAGTCATCTGCATATCCATATTCTAACTTGTTATTCTTCATCTAACTACATTTTTAACTTCATCTAACTACAATTTTTTTTTTTTTTTTTACATCTTTATTGGAGTATAATTTCTTTACAATGGTGTGTTAGTTTCTGCTTTATAACAAAGTGAATCAGTT